GCGGGACCTCCCGCGCGCCAATCCAGTACCTGACGGACTCCAATGGCAACCGCCAGCACGATGTGAAGGCGATTGCAGACACACTGAACAAGCAGTTTGTTTCATCCGGCATTCCGGAAGATCCGAATTGGGTCATTCCATCGCTGTCCCCAGCCCCTGAACTTAGCGCACCACTCACACGCGTCGTTACCACGACTGCTACCGTCTGTAAGCACCTCAAACTCCTGAAGAATTGTAAGTCCCCTGGCGAAGATGGCATACCCAATGAGGTTCTCAAATGGCTTGCGCCATCTCTGTCCTATCCCTTGTGCCTGCTCTTTAACATGTCATATCGTACAGGAGTATTTCCGTCCGTCTGGAAATCTGCTGTTATCGTCCCGATCTATAAGAAAGGCCAACGCTCTCAGGCTGGCAACTACAGACCAATCTCTCTCCTTCCCGCTGTGTCCAAGGTCTGTGAACGTATTTTCTTTGAGTCTCTGTACTGCCACGTCACCCCAGCGCTTTCACCATCTCAATCCGGTTTCTGCCGTGGAGACTCCACAACTTTCCAACTAACACGTCTAGTACAAGACATCTACACCCAGCGGAACCTCAGGCGGCATGTTGGCATCGTGTTCTTTGACCTAGCGAAAGCTTTCGACACCGTCTGGCATCGTGGTCTGCTTGCAAAGCTAGAGTCCGTCTTCTTGGTACACGGTCCAGCCCTGCAATGGCTCTCATCCTATCTTTCCTGCCGCCACCAGACTGTCAGAGTATCTACCTCCCTATCAGACCCATTACTAGTCGTGTCTGGGGTACCCCAGGGGTCCATACTTGGGCCGCTCCTATTTCTACTGTACGTTAATGACTTGCCAGCCCTTGTACCAAATGTAAGTCTTTTTGCTGACGACACTGCTCTGATGTGCTCCGACAGCTCGGCAGACAACCTCACGGCCTCCATGCAGTCCGGGGTCAACGCTACAGTAACATGGATGGAAACCTGGAAACTGAAGCCTAACCTCGCCAAAACCGAGGCCATGTTCTTCTCTCCCTCGCCCCCCACTCAACTTCTGTATTTTCCTGGTCTAAATAGTACACCTATTAAAGTTGTTAACGAGCACAAGCACCTGGGCGTTATTCTCGACCGCCAACTCTCCTGGTCTCCACAAGTCCAGTCTGTGTGCAAGCGTGCGAGTGCGTCCTTAGGTATGCTACAACCCCACTGCCAACACTTGAATGATAACTGCAGAGAATTGTTCTTTAAGTCGTACATTTTGCCTATATTTGACTATTGCGATATAGCTTGGTGCGGGTTGTCTCAGACTTTACTCCACAGACTGGAGGTACATCAACGCTTGCTTCTGAAAATTCTGTTTCGAAAAGACCAAACATTTGCCTCCCTTTGTCTTTATAAACTTGCTTCCACGCACCCTCTTCTTGCCCGACATCAGCAGCATCTTTGTATCCTTGTGCAAAAAATCTTCCTAGCCCAAGTCCCGAAACATATTGCCAAGTACAACTGGTTTGTTACCACTAGACCAACACGCAATGCCTTATCACTGCCCCGAGCTAGTTCCTCTCTGTTTTTGAAATCCCCTTTCTTCTCAGCATACTCCCTTTGGTCTAACCTGCCTACTAGCATTAAGACATGCCAGGATATCAGGAAATTCACAGTCCAGCTTTCCACACTGTCTCATCCGAAGTGATCCCATGTATTATTAATGTGCCTCCCTTTCTTTTTCTCTCCCTATCTCCTTTCCCTCTCTGACAGCATCTTTCTTTTTTTTTCCCTTTTAGCTTGCCGTGGTTGGCTATCACCTGACCTCTCATGTTTATTGGCAGTCTTCGGACGGGCCAGGAGATGTTGAATAAATAAATAAATAAATAAATAAATAAACTGAGTGCAGCCACAAAGCAAGAGGTGATACAGTGCAACATGACACAACATTTACATCTGATAACCAGCTACGAGAACAACTTTAGCGCGACTACATGTACATGCTTCTTTTGTTTACAAAGAACAGGATTATGCACACGAATACATACAGCTTCCAGAACCTTCAACTGCTTAACATAACTTGCACGGCACAGAACAGAAAAGTGAGAATCATCGTACACACTAAGACAATCTGCACGTGATAACAAGTGACAAAATACAGCTGACTTTTTGCTCACGTCGCTCTCTTCCGTCTCATCCCGCTCCTTTCCTTCGATCTCCTCCGCCTTATCCTCGTCCTCCGTCTCATCTTCATCATCATCGTCCTCATCACCACCATCATCATCATCAGTCACTTCCTCATCATCCGTTTGATGCTCAGTCTCACTGCACTCCTTATCAGCCTCCAACATGGCTCCATCATCTCCACCAGCATCACAAGTCAAGCCAAGCCATTTGGTTTATCTCTTTGAGTGCCGGAATTGTGCTGCCCGGTACGTTGGTAGGACTCTTCAACACCTGAACGCACGTATCAGACAACATGTGCCGTTGCACTTATTACCACCAGCAGCCAGAGCAAAGCGGCCAAAGCGTGGTAGGCCGTGTAAGAACCCAGTTAGCTCAGTAGACAAACACGCTGTGCCGACAGCGCCGCCTGTTCCCGTGCCACCACCGGCCCCACCACCTGGGGTGCCGTGGGTGGCTGGGGCTGGGGTGGGTTTGCCATCATTGACCTGGCCACCACTTCTCGACCCACTGCAAACGGTAGCGGAGCCTACTCTAGCACAACATCATCGTCCTGGAATGGAGGAGGGGCCACCGAGAGACACTGAACCTTCACCTCGGCAGTTGCCCTTGCCTCCGCCTGAGCCACCCCCTTTACCTTTGGTGACTACCGAGACGGTGGTCCCCCCGGTGCTGGGATCCACGGTGCCGACTGTGTCTGGACAGAGAGGGAGATCATCGACAAACCAAAATGAAACCAAGATCCTCACCCACAGACCCAGAAGAAGCACAGCAAACTATTCACTTGAAATTTATGCACGGAATGGACTTGGCCCACGCAAAATGGACAGTGGAAATGGGTGTGCAGTAGCAGAGAACCCAGCAACGGTGACGCGGAGCAGCGGTCAAACGACTTGTGATGCTGGTGGAGATGATGGAGCCATGTTGGAGGCTGATAAGGAGTGCAGTGAGACTGAGCATCAAACGGATGATGAGGAAGTGACTGATGATGATGATGGTGGTGATGAGGACGATGATGATGAAGATGAGACGGAGGACGAGGATAAGGCGGAGGAGATCGAAGGAAAGGAGCGGGATGAGACGGAAGAGAGCGACGTGAGCAAAAAGTCAGCTGTATTTTGTCACTTGTTATCACGTGCAGATTGTCTTAGTGTGTACGATGATTCTCACTTTTCTGTTCTGTGCCGTGCAAGTTATGTTAAGCAGTTGAAGGTTCTGGAAGCTGTATGTATTCGTGTGCATAATCCTGTTCTTTGTAAACAAAAGAAGCATGTACATGTAGTCGCGCTAAAGTTGTTCTCGTAGCTGGTTATCAGATGTAAATGTTGTGTCATGTTGCACTGTATCACCTCTTGCTTTGTGGCTGCACTCAGTTATATACGTTAGCACTATGTTTGACACCTATTATGTAATGCTGTAGCACTTCCTTTGTTGTTCACACTTTTAATTAATTATGCTGTTATAAAATGTTCTATTTTTGTACACAGTACCCTCAGTTCCGATACTATTCACTGATGAGCGGAACACGAAAATCGATTTTGAATAACATAAAAATCCTTAAAAATTCCATGAACTTGTTGTTGTCTGGCCATGTCTGCATCGATTATACTCCTAATTGCATTATTATTATTATTATTATTATTATTATTATTATTCTTTATTTCCACGATGACCCATGGCCAATAAGGAAGATAATATGATTCAAATCAGTCCAGAATCATATAAAATCAGTCTAGCAAGTAAGGAAACCAACACATTGCAGGGGGATGGAGCTACGATGGGGTACAGTGTGAGCTACTACAGGAGCATATGGATGATAGAATGAGGCTAGACGCCATTGATTTAAACGCATGCTTGCTATTTGTTTCACGCAGGTCGGGGGGTAGTTGGTTGAAATTGTGAAGGGACAGGTTGATGGGTGAGTTGGTGTGTCGGTTTGTGTGTGATGTTCTCAATGTGTATGATTGTTCTCATGTGTCGTAGTGCATATGGCTGCTCTGTGATTGGTCGTGCGAGGTGAGGCTGTTGTAGGTGAAGGGGAGCGCGGATGTACTTGATGTTGTGGTTATTATTATTATTATGATTGTTCACGTTGACATCACCAAGCAAGCTTGGCTAGCCTTCGCATAAGCCAAATGGACATGGTGGCCCGGTAATATCGATAAAGAAGGGAGCAGAATTCAAGGCCCACTGTTAGCTAATTATTGTTAGTTCTGCCCATTTCACTGCTCTTCGTGCAGAATCTGTTAATTTTTCCAGCATTGCCCGTCAAAGCCTTGTGTTAGGAGAAGGAGGACATAGTACAGACGGTGTGAGGTACATGATTGTATTTTCATCCGCCTATACAATTACTTCATCTACGCTGGGGAGGTATGGGTGCGAAAGCGGGGGGATTTGGGCCGAGATCTGGAAATAAGCGAAGGGGACGGGATCGGGAGAGCAACCGCAGGCACAGGATGTTACAACACTCAACAGTAACTAACTTTACTTGTTACTTGTTGTAGTGTACATCTAGTACTGTACAGACTACAGTAGTAGTAGTACAGTCTAGACTACAGCCATGTACATGAGTCATGACCATGACATGATTAGAGGTCTACAGACTACATGAAGCAGGGGGTCGTCATGTAGGTCTACCATAGCCTACGGCCGGGACTCCCTGACATGAAGCGACGCCGACGGGATCCGGACAGGACGTGAAGTAGTTAGTTCGAGTCAGATCAGACAGCTACAGGTGCAGAGAGATCACCAGATCACGTGAAATGGCAATGATTCACTCATCGTTTTCTTCGCGGTGTCATTCCGAAAGGACAGCGACCTGGACTGAAGTGAGTGAAGACTGAAGTCCCAGCGCCGGACTGAAGTATTGACCCCGACGAAGATAAGATCTTTCCTTGGCTTCAGAAAACAACAGGCAAGAAGTGACAGTAATTTCCACGAATGGACTGCACTATCAGTGTCCGCATCTCTCCGAGAAACTAGTTCGCGGCGCCGGGTAACAATACGTATTTCACTGTGGACTGAGCAGTGAGTAGGACAAGCAAAGATTTGCAGCCAAGTGCCGTAAGGGCGGCCTGCATGCAGCTAGCGCAGGATGGTTCTGTCCGTGGCTCTGAAGTGTCGCTTGGTCCGGGGCCTGAGCGAGGAGCAAAATCATGAGAGCTGGAGCCCTGGTAAGAATCCATGGCACTCCGAAAGCAGTTTCTACACAAATGAAAGTTGCGGCCATTGGGTAAAATTATTGGTGTCTCGCCATCCTGGAATAAAAGAATAATGCAAAATTGCGGAAATTTGTTTTTGTGAATTGAGTCCAAGGTCGCTAACTTATTGTGTGATGAAGCTACATTGCCATTGGTCTGTACTGAGTCACAAGTAAATTCAAAAAGCATAGCCACCGTTTTGAATGTCATACACTCCTTCCTTATTTGGGTCTCTATCTACATTGAAGTAGTAATAATAGAGGCAGAGTAAAAACAATTCTACTTCAGTGCTTGTTCAAGTTGCTGTCCTCTACTTTACCATCATGCGGTCAATGTCAGCCATGTCAAAAGCACTGACATAATACCGCAATATTATTGCGGTGATTATTGGTGAAGGGACTACAATGTATATTGTACAAGTCATCGGTGTGCTGTGACTTGTGCTTGCTTTTCGTTCATTCTCTGCAGAGATAGATACCAGCGAGATCATCTCCATTCGTCGCCGGCAGCTAGTAATCGACAACGTAGCTGCTTACACACTACAGCAATTCCTCAGTACTCTTCAGTTATTGTTTATTGATGACGTCATCACTGCCAGCAAGGCGAATCAGTCAGAAGGTCACTCTGTTGGAACACCCGACGACAACAACAAAGTGACAGGCTGGAGCAATGCGGCACGCGCTGATGCTGATCCCAGTGTGGTTAGCAAGAAAGAGCCGCATCGTGTCAGGATCTGGATGAAGAGTCCATCTAGCGTAGCCGGTAAGAAGTTTTCATAGCATTGAAGTACAACCGCTACTGCCGGAAGGTGACCTTTAAAGAAGAGAAAGTGCTTGCCGCAGTCACAAAATCATACACCACTATCCAAACCAGTCTCTGGTCTGCACCTGAAAATTCCGCTTTGGGTGGTGTTGTGTGATTCTGTGAGCTAAATGAAGTGGCTACAGTGGAGTGTTAGCACCCTAAAACAATAGAGAGAGATGGAGAGAGTTTTGCCTGATACTTCCACTGTACATGCGCGACACAATAGAATAACATTTAAAAGGGAAAATAGACACTTAGGTGGAGAGTCGAGGAACATCACCACAGAGGTATGAAAAAGGACAGGTACTGAGGTAGTCGACTAGTTTCACTTACGGTGCTAACCAATATGATTGCCAAGATACTGTGAGTCCCAACGTGCAACAGTTTGGCACAGTACTGATGGTCGGCACTGATAACATGTTAGTGGCTCGACATAATATGTCCATCACACCTCAGCCACATGCGCTATGACCAATAGCTTTCCACCTTGAAGGGTTCCGGGCGATGTCTTGCAATTTTACAACCAATACACTTCTAAGGTGGATGACTATTGCTTAGCACATTCAAACCATTTGTAAAGAAGCCAAGTTTACAGTTGTTGAATGTCAGTGCCAGCTGTCAGTATTGTGCCACATGTCACACACTCTATTTCGCAGTATCTTACTGCTGATATACTGCTACTTGTATCTAGTGGTGGATACACTTAGTGTAGGTAGTAAGCGTTTGGTCATTTCCATAGATTGAGATGCTATTTGTTCTGTTTAGTAAATTCCATGTTCATGTCGGGACACTTGAGAAAGATTCTTTGTAGTTTCCCAGAGCTGTACTTCTAACGGGTGGGCAAAGACTTACGCGTGACGCTATGCAGCATTGGTGAGCGGACGGCCATTGCAGCACGTGCGTGGTTGGCATTTATTTTCGATTCACGGATGTGCGTATGCGCAGGCACCCTTGTGTGTGTCGTGTGCCAAGTGCTGATCTTGGGGATACAGTAGCACATTGATCTGGCCATTTAGGTTGCTTAGTATAGACCAAAGCATGTGCATAGATCACGGTACTGAATCAGTAAGCAGGCTTGGAATTATGTGTTTGGTTTGTGATTAGCTTTACCTTCTCACACATACACACACACACACACACTTCACACACTGCACACTGCACAGTGGATACTGTGGATCAAGACAGCTCTACTGTATACACGCTGATGACGTGTGATATGGATATTCAGCTGATGCTTCACTCAATCAAGGTGAGTGGCACTGGGGTGCACTGCAGCACTACACTGAGCAGTGCACTGCGCCCGTACATAAATCATACTAACACAACGCCTCACCATCACAATGCTCCCACTATGCAAGTTGTTGTCTTTGCCTGTGAGCTGTGATAATTGTAAAAAATAAAAAATAAAATAAATAGAATACTGTTCACTGGGTATCGAGATACTGTGTGAATGTGTTGACCTAAACAACCATTGTCACTTTACTCCCACCCTATCGGCCGGTGTTGTGGTGTTGTACTGCGGTTTGTACTGTAGGACGGCACTCAGCTGAATGTGGACATGCAGCTCATGAAGACGGCTGGTAAGATTCTCAAGGACTCAAAGCATGTCATGTTGAGTCGCTCCCTGTAGAGGAGACGGTTTCAAATAGGACATAGGTTGCAAACCGGAACGGTCTAAATATACACTTTCTCTCTTGGTATTTTGATTAGAAAACGTATGTCACAGTGAGACTACGATGTGTTTCACTCAGCACCAAAATTCCATGGCTCTGCAAACTTCAACATGCCAGCTTCCCGCAAACATATTTCGAGTGAACAATCCACACTGATGATCGGATTGGGTCTACACAATTTTGCTGTCAACCCGTTCCGGTATCGAACCGTCGCCTCTACTGCTGTGCTGGTGTCAACCATGACTGGGGTAGTACTGTTTGATGTAAAATCCTGGTTGTTTCTTTACCAGCATTGCTCCAATGCCCAGTTCAGTCACTTCCGGTGGACATATCACCATGCTATGAATGATACTGCTACAAGCCTGAACTGATCTATACAAAAACTGGATCTCCAACATCCAGCATTGATTTGGCATTGTGATGTTGCACTGTCCAGCTCTATTGCCCTGCTTACCGTATCTAACGGCTGCTATGAATCTGACTGAGTGTTTGTGAGCCATTGTTCTCATATTATTCATCGGGCATGGCACCACGGCTAGGGGTGGGCGGATTATTCCCGGAATATTTTGGGAATACTATCGTTGAGAACATTTTGGGAATTTTAGGTGAATTCTATCGATCTTTTACCAGATCCGTTGACCTTCAGAAGAGTTTTGGGGGAATTCTGTCAATTTCGACCTGCCAAAAAACAAAAGCGTATCCATGGACGCACGCGCATGTACATCAGCAACACCCGTAGATCCTGCATGCAGTGATCACGTGCCTGACCGTCCATTTTGCATACTAAAGAGCATGAGCAAGGCACGGTTCGTGCTGGGCCATGGGGTTCTTTTGGGGGGGGGGGGGGGGAATTCTGGAGAATTTTTTCGATGTTTTGGGAGAATACTTTCGAAGTTCCGCGGGAAATGCCCGAAAGCATAATATCGGGTGCGTGCGAGCATAATCCGCGCATCCCTAACCACGGCAGCCATATCATGTGCCCTTGCTGTAAGGAAATTTGTACTTATTGTGTCAAAATTGTACTTCGTCTTGTGTCAAAATGTGTACTTCTTGTGTCAAATTTGTACTTCTTCTTGAGTCAAATGTGTACTTATTGTGTTAATATATCTACTTCTTGCGTTCCCAGAGCGCTATCCTGTAGGTACCCACGGTGTGTTGGGAGGTGATGACGGTACTGATGGTCCATTCCCTATAGATCCTGGAGATACGCATGTCAGTACACCTGTTGGTGGTGGACTTGTCGAGTCAAGACTTACCTGTGATGTCTTTGTGGCTGGTGCTGGAAGGTGAGTTTCCTGGCTATAGGCATGTCCTTAGATCACAAGGAATACAATCAGTTGAGCCATTTGGGCCTCTAAGGAAAACAATAGACGTACATACAGTGTCTGCTCATTCTATTTGTCAGTTTGCACGACTGCCCAACTCAACAGAGTCATGGCTCATAATCACAGTTAGTATTGCACTATCCTCTGGAAAGGCTTGATTTCAGATTCAACAACGTGTTTGCAAACTTACTCGGCATTTCACTTTGCTAAGGCTTTGTTAAGTAACAGTTACAATGCATAACACATGGCATGCAGAGACATTCCAGTGTTGCTTTTGTCCCTGTTGCTTATAGTGCTGGATTGGGTGCTGCCTTGTCGGCTGCCAGGAGTGGTGCGTCAGTGATCTGCGCACATGGTGAGTTCTGCAGTGCATGATGACGCTCTTTACAATCACAGAATGCCTTTATCTACAGCATGGGCGTCGGACACGCTACGGTCACTACGGTGTTGAGTCTGTACCACTCCTTGCCACTGGTAGCCTGTTAATAAAAGGCACTGATTTGGGCTGTAAATTTCGAAAAAGTTCCGAGGAGACCGTATCCCAACCGTACGAGTAAATTGTTCTTCAGGTGGCTGACCACCCTAAACCTATCTTCCGACGGCTCTGTTCATCATGGCCCGGGTCTATGTTCATCATGGCCCGGGTCTATGTTCATCATCCCCGGGTCTATGTTCATCATGGCCCGGGTCTATGTTCATCATGGCCCGGGTCTATGTTCATCATCCCCGGGTCTATGTTCATCATGGCCCGGGTCTATGTTCATCATCCCCGGGTCTATGTTCATCATGGCCCGGGTCTATGTTCATCATGGCCCGGGTCTATGTTCATCATGGCCCGGGTCTCTGTTCATCATCCCCGGGTCTATGTTCATCAATTCATGGCCCGGGTCTATGTACATTGCATGTATGTAGAGGTGGATGCGGTGCACTTTGGGATCAGTGACCTGATTGCGATCCGGAGTGATATCATCAGACATACAAACGCGGTGTAGAAACGAGACAGTAGACTTGAAATGTTACAAATTTAACTGCGTACTCTGGTCTTTGTGGATGGTACATCCCGGGTGACCTTTTAAAAGGAGGTTGAAGAGTACGAATGAAGTAGCGGTGAGGCATCCTGCAGCTTCATAACTCGAAGAGAATTGGTGAGCACACATGCTCATTCCCTGGGCACTGCAAATTCACAACTCATTTCATTTCACAGAATCATTTTCAATGCCGGTTTCGGCAAATTGCCATCATCAGGATGCAATATGGTTGAAGAGTACCATGGAGTAACTGATGCTCAGTGTCTGACTGTGTATCGTGTTCCTTCTCTCCACAGGCAGGAAAGTAGTCGGTGGGAATTCGTCTAGTGAAGTCAAACTCAATATGGTGGGTGCTGACATCAGTGGAGGTACGGGATGCCTTGTCACCGTATGTTCTATGCAATCAACCTAGCCCATGGTCATGTAATACATACTGAAGGAAATAGACACACGAGTTGAAAGTGTAACAAACTAACGACAGGTATAAATCCCATTTGACTACCAATAACTCCCATTGCATGTAATGTCAGCATATTATGCCAATTGATGGTCATAACATGATGGATTTCTCCTGGTCTAAAATCCACCCCGGCTATGTTTTAGTGTGTGTCTTGCATCACAATGCGGCTAATGGGGTTTCTCGGCACTTGTGCCAGTGGTTGTGAGACTTATCCACTCACCCCACCGTTAGCCTCTGCCGCTAGGGTTTACAGGGTGTTAGCGACCGTCGTGAGTTTCCTTCGGGAACGGACACGATAATTTTCTTTTTTTCTTCTTTTTTTGTATCACAACCCAACAACCCTGCAAGGTATTGTACTGACCATTTTCAGTTATATTACCGGTAAGTTGTCATCAACGGAGTAAAACCTTCTGGACATTGGCCATGCTGTTCTTTCCTTGACATTGACATGCAGGACGCGGTGTTGAGCTGCAGACTGAAGCACGTGAAGGAGGTATTCTGGAAGAGATACGTCTGGACAATTCCGTGTACAATGCTCAGGTAAACGTGTAGAACGAGAATGTCACGGGTTGGGTTGAGACCACTTCCTGCTGTAAGTTAGTCAGAAGAATTCTAGTCAATCACACTGGGCTCATTTCCACTGAAATGCACTGATGATGATACAAGTACATTGTATCAGAATTACTTGATTTGTTATCCTCACCTACTTTGCGATTTTAGTACAGGTCACGTTCTTGTATGGTGCAGCTGCTGGCTGAAGCAGTCTGCATTTTAAAATGCATTCTATTCCAAGAATGGAAGAAAGTTCAAGAAACACACCCCGGCAGCATCATGTGTGCCGTGTTTACAGTTGGCACAGTGTCACTAGTCTCAGTTACGTGAATGCAAGCTGCTGCCTCCGCAGCCGCATCAGTAGTAGGAATGATGTTTCTCCTCTCTATGTCTTTGCATGCAGTGGTGTCCGGAGATGTGGGACCTGACAATGCTTGACAAGTTCCGGACACTTCCCAATATGAACTTGCTTCTCAACACTTGGTTTGTGTCATGTACATTGGACGACAATGGATCGATTACGGTGAGTTAACAATACGGCGTTTCTTTTATCAAGTACAGTTGAATGTTGCAAATCAAACAAAGGCAGTGCGCAACTAACTTACGTGCTGCAACTCTTGTCGCTGAGGCTTTGGTTGAGAGGCATGTCTAGAACGAACCTCCTGCGGGCTTCTGGATGTTATGTCCAAAGCTGTAAGTGATGAGAAGATTTGGTTTGGCCAAATCTGTAGACCGTGGCAGAATGCCTGAGAGCACATGTCGCAGTGTGTGCAGACTGGTAGCACAATCAGTCTACATTTCCAGGGTAATGGCTGTAGTGCATGTGTCAGTTGCTGTGTAGTCACGCTACAGACATGAAGTAATCGGCAGTCTTGCATTGACTAGCCACGCCAACTGAAGATGAAATTTTGAGTCACAACACTTGCTTGATATACCTATCGACAACAGTGTGCGTCCTTCTATATCAAAACACAGTTCTTTGAACTTCTTTGGCTGAACTGTGGTCCGACCAAATTCTCTGTTAACAGACAGATTGGCTGCTACTTCCCTTCACTTGTGTGATACCTCTATGAGTGAATTCTTGATGATTTGTACAGGAAAACTGCATGAACCAATAGCATGTTGCCATGGTAAACAGCTCAGACTCCAGAATCGTTACTGGGAAGGCGACGGGGCAGATACTCTTCATGCGTGTTTTTCATTCCGTGTTTCCTGCAGAGTGTAGTTGCTGAGTGTCAGCTGACCCAACGTCGTTACATCATCACAGCAAAGGTACATTGTAATCATGTGACGGACCACACGCACACCGTAGCCACCATATCTACCGTATCCAGAGTCCAAGCTGCATGTATTCTGACTCTGAATACTGACCTGACTGCTGTGGCAAGTGAGGCTGTCAAGAGAACCATTCTGATCGTTATGGTCCGTCCTCCCTGCATAGTTGAGTGAACACTCTCTGTGGGCGATTGTCCTTCTTGTCGACTTGGCATGACTGATGATGATGAGAATACTTTCACTTGACTAAATGTGAATACCAGTACTTGTAGTGGATATTCCTCTTGCTAGCTGTGCGCTGATGGGTCAAGTTGATAATGTATTCTTGCTGCGTATCAGGTGTACATAGACACAACTGGTGATGGTCGACTGGGAGCTGAGGCAAAGTGTCAGTGGAGACAAGGTCGTGAAGCACAGTCCGAGTACAAGGAATCGCTGGCTATGCTGACAGCGGACACTGCTACGGAGGGATCATCACTTGCCTTCACCACCAAGTAAATAATAACTTTAATAGCAATTGCCACACAAGCCTGGCACTAAGTATGCATGTAGTCTTTGCATACGACATGATAAAGTACTCGTAGTGGTTTGGGTATTGGATCTTTGTATCATCTGAGAATGCATCAATGTGCTATTGACGTTATTCATATCTTTGCATGAATCAGGGCATAATTTCAGGAGGTTCTTGTTACTGAATTGCTTCATTATTGATGCTGCTACAGTGTTGATGAAATGGCGGAGCCCCACACCAGCGTGTTAATTTAGATCATGTGTAACTTGATGTCCTCTCCCTGTCACTGCCACTGCCATCATGACACAGAGACATGGTAAAACCAACTTGGTGTAGGCTCCCTGTCCATCCCGTCGTGACACAGAGACGTCGTGACACAGAGACATGGTAAAACCAACTTGTTGTTCTTTCCCTCTCCATATCCATCATGCCATGACACAGAGACATGGGGAGGCCTACTCCGTTCTCACTGCCAACATCCTATAATCGTCGGTTTACAGCGGAGGACTTTGCTCATCGCAAACTGGCTTCCTATGACTATGGTGAGATTCTTACCTGTTTGCTGGCGTATCTGCAGTAGCACCTACTCACGGTCTATACGCAATGTGTACGCATTGTATACCCAATGTTTACACAGTACATAGTATTGGTGGACAGGCCATTATTGCATTGGTTAGCCACTCTCATTGTACTTGTAACGTAAAAGCCTTGGTGGGCCGGGAGATTGAGTTGACCTTGTAGCTGCTGGTGTTGTCCTTCTCAGGCTATTGGTGGATAGAGCTATCCTGGCCGTATGATAATGTCAGCGACCAGAACACAATCACAGCTGAACTTCACCAGGCACTGCTTGGTGTGTGGGACTATATGAAGAACAGTGGTGGAGAGCTGGCTGAGAAGACAAAGAACCTGGCACTGGACTGGTTTGGTGAGACACTGTGTGTGCATGATGTAATGCAGCAGGCAGGTGCATGACGTAATGCAATAGTCATGTGCAGTCATGTGCATAACCTAATGCAGTACTAATGTGTATGCTGTAATGCAGTACTAATGTGCATGACATAATGCAGTACATATGTGCATGACATAATGCAGTACTTATGTGCATGACATAATGCAGTACTTATGTGCATGACATAATGCAGTACTGATGATGTAATGCAGTACTAATGTGCATGATGTAATGCAGTACTAATGCTGTAATGCAGTAGTCATGTGTATGATGTAATACAGTAGTCAGTACATCCAGTCATTATGCAGTCATGTGTTCTCACAGTCTGTAGGCTGTATTACACTGGTTACAATCAGCCAGAACCTCTGCAGAAACTTTAGTAAGGGTGTGTAATGGGGGGGGGGGGGGGGGGTTGAACCTTACCTCCGCATCCAGTCTGAGTCTCTTAGTGCTATTCGATAGGCCTGACTTTGAACTACTCTGGTAGTGCTGATTTAGATGGAAATATCCCGATGTAATGAAGCTTTTTGATGCCGTCAAGAGCTATCTTGATGGTCTAATATGACAGCTCTATCACTTTGTTTATCTACATATCGATTCACTGTCATTTTTCTGTTAGGGTATTACCCTTGCAAACGTGAGGCACGTCGTCTCAAGGGCTTGTATACGATGACACAGAATGACATGGTACCCACGCCGGCTGCTTTCTCTGATACCGTGTGCCATGGCGGCTGGGGACTGGACCTGCACAATCCTAAAGGTAATACTGTAACACACCATAGGCTGTTCTTCAAACTGTGTCGTAAAGCTGAAGTAGGCTAAACTCTAATGCTAATTCGGCCAGAAATGGCGCCGAGGATAATTATGATGAATAGGCATGCACTTGTAATATTGCCTCAGCCTTTCCTGATGCCATGCTGTGCTTTCTAGCAACATTGTTTGCACGCTCCCTGGTTTAACAAAGCAAGAAATCATACTACTACTGTGTACTGAAAGCTGATTGAATGCACTTTATGCAGCTTACATTGTTTTTGAGTGTTGATACTCTTGCACTCATTTGTCCACCATCCCATGTAGGAATCAATGATCCAGACATGCCGCCGTTTTCCAGCACCCACACCCCGTACATCTACGGCACACCATTGAGATGTTTTGTGTCAGCTGATGTCAGTAACATGATGATGGCTGGTAGACTAGCTAGCTTCACACATGTAGCGTTTGGATCACAGCGCGTCATGGCAACATGCTGTGTGGTGAGTGCATAGACAAGTTGCACAGTTGTAATATTATAACTCTGATGCATTAAATCGGTTGTGGCGACAAACGCGATTAGGCCGGCTGCAGGGACGCCGTAATGTCGCACTCGCCCCAGCACCATTCAAACAATTCCCTTTGGCAGTTCACGGCACGAACTTCAACAAAGCCCCGTGAATGCGTACCAGGGGAAGGCTAGACAGCATGTCTCTAGACATCAATAGGCATCGTATGAAAAGCCAGTCAATAGCACTAAAGAGCGAAAGCCTTTGTAACGGTTCGGTTTCACTCGCGCACCGGGCCCGAGCTGGCAGCACAAGCAAACGCCGGACGCGAGCTGGCAGCACAAACAAACGCCTTACTCACACGAGACCGTTGGGCCAACGGATGGCCACAGCCATCAAAAACAGGAACAAACCCATCCACGGCTCTTTCTCTCGCTAGCTGTGCTGCTGTGTGCATCCAACTGTTTTGCAATTTCTCCCTCCCACCCACGCCTCCTGGTATTTATTATCGCTCTACACTATCCTACGTCTCACAATGAGTGCCACTCAGCATGATGGTACTCCAAGCTACATTTTATTTGATCTGTCCTAGCTCACTATTCTGGACAAAATATTAATTCAATTGCAATGAAGCGCCGGGGGCCGGCGGGGGCATTCGGCGGCTTGGTCTGATTCCTACCTTGTTGGTAACCGGCTTGAGATTTCCAAGGTTGCTATGACAACGTGCAGTCATGCGCAGGGCCACCCAACATGCATTGGGGGCCAGGAAAGACAGAAACGCGTTGCTAGGCAACAGCAAAAGCGCTCGGCGAGTATCACGCTACTCATGCAGCACGCACGTTGGCTTAGGGTATCACGCTACCCTTGCGCTGCAGGGTACCACATTGCCCCTCGCTGGAATCAGACCCGCGCCCCGGATACCTTGCACTGGCCTCCTGACGGCCAAACTCAACCAACTTGTGCGCTGTGACTGGGGTTGTGCATGTATTAGCAACATAATGTGGCCCAGGTCGGCAGACTTTCAATTAGCCAAGCGAGCTACTCAGGCCAGGGTGCATGATCACTATTCGAAGCACTTATCGTCCATGCAGCAGTCGGGTTAAGACCACAGATGAGGAATTGCTCCAAGGCTGGTCTATACTTCCCCATCTCATCACTGCATATCATAGATACATAGGCAACACAGGATTACATTGGATGTTACTTCAAAGTACTGTATTCAGTAATACAGGGGATTCCATTGTGATTGGCTTTTGTCGATATACGTTACTTGGACAGCCAGTATTCTTCACCTGGTAATGGTGCTAAGCACAATCATGGCATGGGAACGCCAGAAACTGATTCTATTGACAAAGAACACTGACAGTCGCAAAGACAATGACAGTGAGGTTCATCCAGAGGTCAGTACAACAGGCGAGATACTACCGCAAGATACTCTCTTGGGAGAATAATCGTATATACGGAGTTTGCCAATGTTTCGTTTGTTCTTGTTATTGCCCACTGTCTAGCATGGCCAAGGTGCTGGTACAGCTGCTGCCTATGCTGCACTTCACGGCATGACACCACAACAAGTTGCCAAAGATCCCGATGCTGTCTGGAGTGTGCAACAGGTATAGCAAAAAGTCACCAACGTTTTCCTGCTACATGCATATGCATAACGAATATATCGTAAGCATAGCCTTTTAGACTAGCCTCTGTGTCCAGTTTAGAGTCGGACTTATGACCCAATAGAGTTTATCACAGTATTTCTGTGCTATTCTTGCAAATCCATTTCAAGATCAGTCCTCTGTCGCAACTGGGAGAGGTATGTTTGTACAAGTAGTCGTTAGGGGAGGACACATGTGTATTGTTTGCTGCATGTGTGTGCATCTGTAGCAACTACTGCGTGATGATCAGTTTGTTATTGGTCAAGTGAATCAAGATCCTCGCGACAAGGCACTCACTGCTACTGCAACTGCTACATCGTAAGTCTGTAATGTGTCAATAGTAGTCCTGCCTGGGAGCGTTTTTTACATCCGTGCTGCTGCCCACAATCAACTGGGAACTCGTGGCCAGGCACAAGGGGTACATGGATACGGCTGATGGGGTCTTTCTCGGCACTTGTGCCAGTGGTTGTGAGACTTATCCACTCACCCCCACCGCTAGGCGCTGCATCTGCCGCTAGGGTTTACCGGGTGATAGCGGCCGTCGTGAGTTCCCTTCGGGAACGGATAATTTACTCTTTTTTTTGCTTACCTCTTGGCCACCAACACAGTCCTGTTTCCTATTGTGGCGGTCATGTGTACACACAATATCATGTCTACACACAATATCATGTGTACACACAATATCATGTCTACACACCATATCATGTCTACACACCATATCATGTCTACACACCATATCATGTCTACACACCATATCATGTCTACACACAATATCATGTCTACACACCATATCATGTCTACACACCATATCATGTCTACACACCATATCATGTCTACACACCATATCATGTCTACACACAATATCATGTCTACACACCATATCATGTCTACACACCATATCATGTCTACACACCATATCATGTCTACACACCATATCATGTCTACACACAATATCATGTCTACACACCATATCATGTCTACACACCATATCATGTCTACACACCATATCATGTCTACACACCATATCATGTCTACACACCATATCATGTCTACACACCATATCATGTCTACACACAATATCATGTCTACACACCATATCATGTCTACACACCATATCATGTCTACACACCATATCATGTCTACACACCATATCATGTCTACACACCATATCATGTCTACACACAATATCATGTCTACACACCATATCATGTCTACACACCATATCATGTCTACACACCATATCATGTCTACACACAATATCATGTCTACACACCATATCATGTGTACACACAATATCATGTCTACACACCATATCATGTCTACACACCATATCATGTGTACACACCATATCATGTCTACACACCATATCATGTCTACACACCATATCATGTCTACACACCATATCATGTCTACACACCATATCATGTCTACACACCATATCATGTCTACACACCATATCATGTCTACACACAATATCATGTCTACACACCATATCATGTGTACACACAATATCATGTCTACACACCATATCATGTCTACACACCATATCATGTCTACACACCATATCATGTCTACACACCATATCATGTCTACACACCATATCATGTCTACACACCATATCATGTCTACACACCATATCATGTCTACACACAATATCATGTCTACACACCATATCATGTGTACACACAATATCATGTCTACACACCATATCATGTCTACACACCATATCATGTCTACACACCATATCATGTGTACACACCATATCATGTCTACACACCATATCATGTGTACACACCATATCATGTGTACACACCATATCATGTGTACACACCATATCATGTCTACACACCATATCATGTGTACACACCATATCATGTGTACACACCATATCATGTCTACACACAATATCATGTCTACACACCATATCATGTGTACACACCATATCATGTCTACACACCATATCATGTCTACACACCATATCATGTCTACACACCATATCATGTCTACACACCATATCATGTCTACACACAATATCATGTCTACACACCATATCATGTCTACACACAATATCATGTCTACACACCATATCATGTGTACACACCATATCATGTCTACACACCATATCATGTGTACACACCATATCATGTCTACACACCATATCATGTCTACACACCATATCATGTCTACACACAATATCATGTGTACACACCATATCATGTGTACACACCATATCATGTGTACACACCATATCATGTGTACACACCATATCATGTCTACACACCATATCATGTGTACACACCATATCATGTGTACACACCATATCATGTCTACACACAATATCATGTCTACACACCATATCATGTGTACACACCATATCATGTCTACACACCATATCATGTCTACACACCATATCATGTCTACACACCATATCATGTCTACACACCATATCATGTCTACACACCATATCATGTCTACACACAATATCATGTCTACACACCATATCATGTCTACACACAATATCATGTCTACACACCATATCATGTGTACACACCATATCATGTCTACACACCATATCATGTGTACACACCATATCATGTCTACACACCATATCATGTCTACACACCATATCATGTCTACACACAATATCATGTGTACACACCATATCATGTGTACACACCATATCATGTGTACACACCATATCATGTGTACACACCATATCATGTCTACACACCATATCATGTGTACACACCATATCATGTGTACACACCATATCATGTCTACACACAATATCATGTCTACACACCATATCATGTGTACACACCATATCATGTCTACACACCATATCATGTCTACACACCATATCATGTCTACACACCATATCATGTCTACACACCATATCATGTCTACACACCATATCATGTCTACACACAATATCATGTCTACACACCATATCATGTCTACACACAATATCATGTCTACACACCATATCATGTGTACACACCATATCATGTCTACACACCATATCATGTGTACACACCATATCATGTCTACACACCATATCATGTCTACACACCATATCATGTCTACACACAATATCATGTGTACACACCATATCATGTGTACACACCATATCATGTGTACACACCATATCATGTGTACACACCATATCATGTCTACACACCATATCATGTGTACACACCATATCATGTGTACACACCATATCATGTCTACACACAATATCATGTCTACACATCATATCATGTGTACACACCATATCATGTCTACACACCATATCATGTCTACACACCATATCATGTCTACACACCATATCATGTCTACACACCATATCATGTCTACACACCATATCATGTCTACACACAATATCATGTGTACACACCATATCATGTGTACACACCATATCATGTGTACACACCATATCATGTGTACACACCATATCATGTCTACACACCATATCATGTGTACACACCATATCATGTGTACACACCATATCATGTCTACACACCATATCATGTCTACACACCATATCATGTCTACACACCATATCATGTCTACACACCATATCATGTCTACACACCATATCATGTCTACACACCATATCATGTCTACACACCATATCATGTCTACACACAATATCATGTGTACACACCATATCATGTGTACACACCATATCATGTGTACACACCATATCATGTGTACACACCATATCATGTCTACACACCATATCATGTCTACACACCATATCATGTCTACACACCATATCATGTCTACACACCATATCATGTCTACACACCATATCATGTCTACACACCATATCATGTCTACACACCATATCATGTCTACACACAATATCATGTGTACACACCATATCATGTGTACACACCATATCATGTGTACACACCATATCATGTCTACACACCATATCATGTGTACACACCATATCATGTGTACACACCATATCATGTCTACACACAATATCATGTGTACACACCATATCATGTGTACACACCATATCATGTCTACACACCATATCATGTCTACACACCATATCATGTCTACACACCATATCATGTCTACACACCATATCATGTCTACACACCATATCATGTCTACACACAATATCATGTGTACACACCATATCATGTGTACACACCATATCATGTGTACACACCATATCATGTGTACACACCATATCATGTCTACACACCATATCATGTGTACACACCATATCATGTGTACACACCATATCATGTCTACACACCATATCATGTCTACACACCATATCATGTCTACACACCATATCATGTCTACACACCATATCATGTCTACACACCATATCATGTCTACACACCATATCATGTCTACACACAATATCATGTGTACACACCATATCATGTGTACACACCATATCATGTGTACACACCATATCATGTGTACACACCATATCATGTCTACACACCATATCATGTGTACACACCATATCATGTGTACACACCATATCATGTCTACACACAATATCATGTGTACACACCATATCATGTGTACACACCATATCATGTGTACACACCATATCATGTGTACACACCATATCATGTCTACACACCATATCATGTGTACACACCATATCATGTCTACACACCATATCATGTCTACACACCATATCATGTCTACACACCATATCATGTGTACACACCATATCATGTGTACACACCATATCATGTCTACACACCATATCATGTCTACACACCATATCATGTCTACACACAATATCATGTCTACACACAATATCATGTCTACACACAATATCATGTCTACACACCATATCATGTCTACACACAATATCATGTCTACACACAATATCATGTCTACACACAATATCATGTCTACACACCATATCATGTCTACACACCATATCATGTCTACACACCATATCATGTCTACACACAATATCATGTCTACACACAATATCATGTCTACACACAATATCATGTCTACACACAATATCATGTCTACACACCATATCATGTCTACACACCATATCATGTGTACACATCATATCATGTGTACACACCATATCATGTGTACACACCATATCATGTCTACACACCATATCATGTCTACACACAATATCATGTCTACACACAATATCATGTGTACACACCATATCATGTGTACACACCATATCATGTGTACACACCATATCATGTCTACACACCATATCATGTCTACACACCATATCATGTCTACACACCATATCATGTCTACACACCATATCATGTCTACACACCATATCATGTGTACACACCATATCATGTGTACACACCATATCATGTCTACACACCATATCATGTCTACACACCATATCATGTCTACACACAATATCATGTCTACACACAATATCATGTCTACACACAATATCATGTCTACACACCATATCATGTCTACACACAATATCATGTCTACACACAATATCATGTCTACACACAATATCATGTCTACACACCATATCATGTCTACACACCATATCATGTCTACACACCATATCATGTCTACACACAATATCATGTCTACACACAATATCATGTCTACACACAATATCATGTCTACACACAATATCATGTCTACACACAATATCATGTCTACACACCATATCATGTCTACACACCATATCATGTGTACACATCATATCATGTGTACACACCATATCATGTGTACACACCATATCATGTCTACACACCATATCATGTCTACACACAATATCATGTCTACACACAATATCATGTCTACACACCATATCATGTGTACACACCATATCATGTCTACACACCATATCATGTCTACACACAATATCATGTCTACACACAATATCATGTCTACACACCATATCATGTCTACACACCATATCATGTCTACACACCATATCATGTCTACACACCATATCATGTGTACACACAATATCATGTGTACACACAATATCATGTGTACACACCATATCATGTCTACACACCATATCATGTCTACACACAATATCATGTCTACACACAATATCATGTCTACACACCATATCATGTCTACACACCATATCATGTCTACACACCATATCATGTGTACACACCATATCATGTGTACACACAATATCATGTGTACACACAATATCATGTGTACACACCATATCATGTCTACACACCATATCATGTCTACACACAATATCATGTCTACACACAATATCATGTCTACACACCATATCATGTCTACACACCATATCATGTGTACACACCATATCATGTGTACACATCATATCATGTGTACACATCATATCATGTCTACACATCATATCATGTCTACACATCATATCATGTCTACACACCGTATCATGTCTACACACCATATCATACACAAAGTTTACTAAGGCCATGACACTGCCGGACCAATCAAAACTGGTCCCGGCGATCCTGACTAAATTCAGTGCTAATTGTTGCCAACCTGGAATGGTTCAGTGTAGCCATATCACAACTGAAGTATCGCCCTGAAAGTCATCAGGGTTGCAACGACAGTACAAGGAATGACAGCAAGGGAGAAGGAATATAAGCAAGCACCTTTTTCGTAGTTGATACCTGTGTTGATACCTGTGTTGATACCTGTGTTGATACCTGTGTTGATACCTGTGTTGATACCTGTGTTGATACCTGTGTTGATACCTGTGTTGATACCTGTGTTGATACCTGTGTTGATACCTGTGTTGATACCTGTGTTGATACCTGTGTTGATACCTGTGTTGATACCTGTGTTGATACCTGTGTTGATACCTGTGTTGATACCTGTGTTGATACCTGTGTTGATACCTGTGTTGATACCTGTGTTGATACCTGTGTTGATACCTGTGTTGATACCTGTGTTGATACCTGTGTTGATACCTGTGTTGATACCTGTGTTGATACCTGTGTTGATACCTGTGTTGATACCTGTGTTGATACCTGTGTTGATACCTGTGTTGATACCTGTGTTGATACCTGTGTTGATACCTGTGTTGATACCTGTGTTGATACCTGTGTTGATACCTGTGTTGATACCTGTGTTGATACCTGTGTTGATACCTGTGTTGATACCTGTGTTGATACCTGTGTTGATACCTGTGTTGATACCTGTGTTGATACCTGTGTTGATACCTGTGTTGATACCTGTGTTGATACCTGTGTTGATACCTGTGTTGATACCTGTGTTGATACCTGTGTTGATACCTGTGTTGATACCTGTGTTGATACCTGTGTTGATACCTGTGTTGATACCTGTGTTGATACCTGTGTTGATACCTGTGTTGATACCTGTGTTGATACCTGTGTTGATACCTGTGTTGATACCTGTGTTGATACCTGTGTTGATACCTGTGTTGATACCTGTGTTGATACCTGTGTTGATACCTGTGTTGATACCTGTGTTGATACCTGTGTTGATACCTGTGTTGATACCTGTGTTGATACCTGTGTTGATACCTGTGTTGATACCTGTGTTGATACCTGTGTTGATACCTGTGTTGATACCTGTGTTGATACCTGTGTTGATACCTGTGTTGATACCTGTGTTGATACCTGTGTTGATACCTGTGTTGATACCTGTGTTGATACCTGTGTTGATACCTGTGTTGATACCTGTGTTGATACCTGTGTTGATACCTGTGTTGATACCTGTGTTGATACCTGTGTTGATACCTGTGTTGATACCTGTGTTGATACCTGTGTTGATACCTGTGTTGATACCTGTGTTGATACCTGTGTTGATACCTGTGTTGATACCTGTGTTGATACCTGTGTTGATACCTGTGTTGATACCTGTGTTGATACCTGTGTTGATACCTGTGTTGATACCTGTGTTGATACCTGTGTTGATACCTGTGTTGATACCTGTGTTGATACCTGTGTTGATACCTGTGTTGATACCTGTGTTGATACCTGTGTTGATACCTGTGTTGATACCTGTGTTGATACCTGTGTTGATACCTGTGTTGATACCTGTGTTGATACCTGTGTTGATACCTGTGTTGATACCTGTGTTGATACCTGTGTTGATACCTGTGTTGATACCTGTGTTGATACCTGTGTTGATACCTGTGTTGATACCTGTGTTGATACCTGTGTTGATACCTGTGTTGATACCTGTGTTGATACCTGTGTTGATACCTGTGTTGATACCTGTGTTGATACCTGTGTTGATACCTGTGTTGATACCTGTGTTGATACCTGTGTTGATACCTGTGTTGATACCTGTGTTGATACCTGTGTTGATACCTGTGTTGATACCTGTGTTGATACCTGTGTTGATACCTGTGTTGATACCTGTGTTGATACCTGGCTTAGAAATAATAGAGGTGACTTGACTCACTGCATGCCCCCTCTGTATTTTCATGCTTTCTCTGCTCGACAGAGAACAAGACATAGGACCAGCAACAGCAGTGACTTCTGGTCAAACGCGTGCTGTGTTTGGCAAGGGTGGATGTATGACATCACAGTCCCTGCCCGGCACTAACCGATGGATCAGGTTAGTTCTGTACTCTGGCTAGTCTTCAGATGTGAAGCGATGCAGTGCATGTGTGTTCTGCTGGAGGCCCATGTGACATCAAACAAATACACACCAGTATAAGGGCTAATTGTAATAAGATGGTGTTGATCTACATATCGCCGTATGATCACTGCTTTCTGCTGTTTTCTGTACTTCATATTCCGCACTCCACACCCTATACACTGGACTTTGAACAACTGCTATCATTGTCTTCCACGCTTCTCTGCTCAGCAATGGACTACCAGCTACACTCACATTGATGTTCAAAGAACCCATTGCTTCAGTTGGACAGGTATGTCCCCAGTACAGCAACTCAATTAGGGCCTCATCAATTTGATAACCTAGTTTGACAGGCACTGATGGCTAACCCAATAGGAACCATGCTCAGCTATAGTCAATATCAAAAAGCCGCAAAATCAATTTTTCTGCACGTATTGATGCAAGCTCACATAACCGGCCGAAACAAACAAAAACAAAAACAAAAACAGAACATCAGCTGTATTGAATGTCAATGTGTCCGCTCCTTCTCTTCAGAATAGTGAAACACTACAGGCAATTGCGAGAAATGCTTTCTCTTTCTCTATCTCACTCAGCCACTCTCCTCCACCTCCTGTCTCTCTATCTCTGTCTGCGCTTAGGTTGAGCTCGTCTTTGACTCTGGCCTATTCCGCTTGCTGACATTCACAATGAAGAAAGCTCATCAAGAGAAGATGGTGTGGGGCCAAGCACAGCCAGAGCTTGTCAAGGACTACAGCATTGAAGCATTGCCAGTAGCAACAAACTCCTGGCAGACGCTCACGGACGTTGAAGACAATCACCAGAGGAAGAGAGTGCACATGGTGAGATCTGTGTATTCATGATGTCATTGTGATGTGATGAATAGGCCTCCGCGGAATATGCTCGTATTTTTACCGATAATTCCTTTGAGCATTGCTCAAAATTTCGACCTATTATTCCCGTAATTCCACCAATAATTCTCACAATAATGCTTTTTTTCTTCCCTTTTTTTGCAGATACCGTACCGCGTACGGGTTTTTTTGCCACTTGTACGGGCAAAAAAATCACGGTTCGCGTGAAACTCGGCTGGAAGCTTTTTTTCTTTCTTTTTTGAAATACCGGGCGATCAACTTCAGGATCACAAGCTTTTTGGTACAAATCTGGGTGTTATAAATAAAAAAATTGAAGAAAGGGGGGCATTGCTCAAATTTTACCGATTATTCCACAAAAATTGCCAATAATTCCCGTTTTAAAAATCACACCGATAATTCCCGAAATTATGCCTTACATTCCGCGGAGGCCTAGTGATGAAGCAGCTCAAGTTCTGCCTGCAACCAGCGGGCCGCCATGGTTGCTACAGCAACCAACGTTGCAAGCAGTTTCCTCGCGAATTGTCCAACCATACAGTGGCAGATCTTTCAACCACAAGGACAGCCATGTCCACGGCACCCCTGTCCACGGCCCCCCCTGTCCACGGCCCCCCTGTCCACGCCCCCCCCCCCCCCCTGTCCACGGCCCCCCTGTCCTTACCGATGAGATACATGTGTTTCTTTCTGCCCTTTCCTGGTCATAGTAAAGTTCCTGAATCCCTCATTATCCAGGGTATGAGGAGTTGAGAGGGAAAGTTCTTCCTGACTGAATTTGTTTGTTCTGCCGACTTCCTCAGATTGGCTATGCAGAGAAGTGCTCTGGCATCCGTATCACTGTGACAGCCACCAATGGCATTGCTGATGCTCGTATTTGGTAAGCACTGTTCTAGTATTGCTGCCAATGACTGGTACTCTCTATTCTGCAGTCTGCATAATGTTGACATGATGCCATAGAAATGCAAGTATCAGTTCAGGCATTGCAGCGCTGTCATAGTGACGTAATTCAGGCATTGCAGTGATGTCATAGTGACGTAATTCAGGCATTGCAGCCACAGCCTTTGCATGTCATTGCCACGCAGTCCGTTGCACAGCATCCTTCTTCTTCTTCTTCATTCTTTGTTTGCTACAGTGAGGTGAGAGTGTATGAGATTGGTAATGGAGGAAAGTTTCCAGTCAAGCCGAAAGGACTACAGCCACATCCACTGGTAAGTGGCAAATCGCTCTTTTCAATGAGCATGTACTACTATTACTGGGTGTGGCAGGTAGCCTGGCCACCGGGGCAGTGGGCAGCAGACACCCAAGATTTCCTGACCCACCAGCTATGCCAGTCTCTCTTCATGTTAGCATTCATGTAGTAATCAATATTAGTTCAACAATGTGAGCCTTTTCTGAGGTGTTATTGACTCCCTAGCTCTGCTTTTAAAAGTGCACGAGCATATGAGAAAGGTTCTGCACACAATAATAAGATTAGTACTACTAGTACTTGAGAACGTGGTCGATCTACGGAAAGGCCTACGAACACTGCATGTGGATCCGTGTTCCGCCATACGGAGCTTTCTAATCACGTAGCTGCCCTTGGTAACTCCAAACGCAACAGTGTACGACTTGGGGAGAGAGCCATAAATGTATGCCCCAATCCGCTTACAAAGCACCTACATGTTAGAGCCTCGCTTACACTACGTAGACAACTTTCCGTAAGTGGAGTGCAAACACGCGAATTCACGGGTTTTCCCGCCCACTTACATAAAGTTGCTCAATTTTATGTAGTGCGTAAACCTCTCTATTATTGCATTTCTTAAGTTGTAATTCTTTGTTTATGTAACAAATTTCCTACAGTTGACAATGCAAGACCATGCACAAGCAAGCCTTCACTTGGCAGCTCCTCCTGAGCCAACTTGGTGGAGGGAAACAGATGCCGACGACATAGCAGCCTAGACCCAGGTCACATGACTTGTACCGTGCAAAACATGACGTCACTATGACACCAACATGATGTCATCATCGTAATGTTACTCCCGACCACGTGACCAGACCCAGTGTATTGTAAATGATGTCATGCAATGAGATTTCAAGTTTGTGATGGCGGCGATCCGAACTTGTGTTACACATTTATTATAGTTGACCATCTATTTTGTTAAAACTCCAATCTCTTTTATAGCCTCATTCTGAAATGATGAATCATTGCATTGAAAAGTGAATCCAAACTATTGAAAGCCGCATGCTGTTGTGACATGCTGTTAGCTGTGCACTTGGCAAGTTCCTTCTCCCACCCTAACCAGCTATCACCTGCCTTGATTCGAATTCTACAAAAGTCAGTTCGCCATCGTTCTGCTGGTTCACGGTTCAGCAGCACCATGAGGAGAAACTCGCCACTGTGATGTGGTTGAGCAACACAACATGCTGATCTGCATATCTGGGTCAGGATGGCCGAGTGGTCTAAGGCGCTGCGTTCAGGTCGCAGTCTACTTCTGTAGGCGTGGGTTCGAATCCCACTTCTGACATCCAAATATTTTTTTCCATTTTTTCTCTTCTGCTAGCATTACATGGCCCCAGTATCATGGGAATCTGCCATAGGCACCAGCCTGCAGGCTGCAGCTTCAACATCCGTTGACGCCAGGGAGTAGTACAATATGAGAGGTTTCGCTCTACGTAAATACTAATTACGTATGAAAATTCGTATGTCGTACTGTGACATGCCGGGGAACGAGGGCAACTTTCATAGTACGGCTGTGTTTACATGAAGCGTTTCAACCCGGGTTGAGTTCTCACCCGGGTCAGATTTCAACCCGCCATGTGCACAAAATGAATGGCGCGTTTACATGACGCATTGCGCTTGACCCGGGTTGAAATTTCGCCCCGGGTTGATTTCAACCCTCCCCCCAAGGGGAGGGTTGAAACCAACCCGGGTCAAGAAAATCGTACAAACGTACTTCTCTGCGTATCTCGCGCCAGGTTTGAACGGCACTGCAGATGCAAATTTCGCGCGAACGGATTCACGTGACCATACAGGACTGTAGAAGTGGACTTTTGGCGGCATATCAGTATTTGACCCGGGTCAACTGTCTTCATGTAAACGCTCACCTCTTTTGTCTATCGTACAGACTTTCAACCCGGGCTGAACTCGTCCCGGGTTGAAATTTCTCATGTAAACACAATCTCTCTACGGATTTCCGTAGGAAAGCTGTTTCCTACGTTGGGGCCTCCGTAGGACATTTTGAAATATTTTTCGCATTTTCCGGATTTGTCCATGGCGAAGTTCAAGCCGCACGAAACACAAGGTACACACACCGTACACCACGTGCAAAATACGGTGGAAAACGCGGTTTCGGTTCGTGGTGCATGCAGCCAACGCGTCTCCAAAGCAACAAAGGATATTAAGCAGGCGTGGAGAAATCACGTAGAGCGAAACCAAGAGTAGATAAACAAGAGTGTGCAACTCGCGGATGGGTAGGCCCACGGCGGAATTTTTTGTTGACGTAATCTTTTCGACGACGCATGAGCTGCAAGTCTTTCGGAAAGTTTTCCCTCGTGCTCTTGGCCGGCTTTACACTACAAGGTCGGTGCCCAGCACGTGCTCTCACACTGCTCTGCGGTGAAATGCGCGTTCTTCTGAAAAAAGGTGACGTCAACAAAAAATTCCGCCGTGGGCGGGGGTATCTGCAGATTATGCAGGAGAGATCCGGAGTTGCACACTCTTGTTTATCTACTCTTGGCGAAGCCCAACAGGCGCTGATCTTTATGTATGAAAATTACGTGCAGTTCCTACGTTATTTTCATACATAATTCCGTAGAGCGAAACCTCCTTATCGTATTACTCCCAGGTTGACGCACTGTCGGCTCAGGTGAAATTCCACTCAGTATGAGTAGAATGGTCAAAAGCAAAGAATGTCTTGATCTGCTTTTGTGCATGACTGGTCTCTGCATACCTCCCCCTTGTTTGCCCAGTGCAGTATGCAACTGTGGGTGCGCCACTACACAACCTGCTTCACCATTTTAAACGATCTTAAGCACCAGCATGGCTTGAAATTGCAATGCTACAACTCAGCAGTGTACACTGTGCAATGCAACACCGTATAATAATAATATTGTCACAATATTATTGTAAAAATACACAACAAAGATGAAGACGACAGCAACAACAATCGTGAGAATAAAGAATTCAAACAACAACAACACCACCGACGACAATAAGAATAAGAGGCACGAGGAAAGCTTGGTAATAATAGACATAGCCGGTGAAATGAAAATGTAATGTACACTGTACACTGTATAGACTACAGACTATACAGCCATGCAGTTATAGGTCCCAGCTATGGTTACCGGGGAAACACACAAGCAACATAGGCAAGAACTGCCCACAGCTCAGGTCTCAAGTACAGTATTCTAGTTATCAGCCAGCGTATGATAGCGTCTGATGCACACAGGACGGCGACGACTCTAGTGATGGGTTATTACAGCAGTGAGAGACTAAACAGTTTTGCACCTTTCCAAAGGGGATTCCCCTGGAAGTAGTACCTTTCCATATACACTTGAAACGTCACACTACATCGTGCACGTGTATGTACAACAGTCAAAAGGTATGCATGATTGCAGCTCAAGGTGATCATGTGAGTACTGCTTATATCAAGTTAAACGTCACACCTGATCAAGCCACTGCACAGGTACCACCACCAACACACACAAGTGTTAACTAGCTGGTCACTGTGCAGGCTGTCAGTAGTATCCATGTGACTTGACCAAGTGACTTCAGTTATCATAGATCAGATTAGTTATTCTTAGAGAGATCTAATATGTGGACTTCCTCTTTCTCTCTCTCTACAAGGAAATTTCCAGCAGCTGCTTCTTTGCGCTAGATCTCGGCATCATCTTCATCTTCCGCAGTTGCTTCATGGGCCTTTGAAGTAACCTGATCGGGAGCTGCGCTGCGCCAAGCCATTGCCCCATCAGCCTGTGCCATTTCTTCCGGCTTCTTGCGTTTAAAGAAGCCAAGCTATTCCATGGAAAAGAAGCAGAAAACGGAATACTCCGTCAAAATAATCTTCCCCAGGGCTTGGAGAGTACAACATTCAAAGGGAAACAGAACAAGACACTTCCTCCTGCACACACTCTACCACGATTCCACCCTGTACAGTGTCCACACCCTGTACAGTACAGTGTACCCACACCCTGTACAGTATCCACACCCCGTGCAGCATTCACACCCTGCACGGTATCCACACCCTGTACAGCACCCACACCCTGTACTGAATTCACACCCTGTACAGTATCCACACCCTGTACAGTATCCACACCCTGTACAGTATCCACACCCTGTACAGTATCCACACCCTGTACAGTATCCACACCCTGTACAGTATCCACACCCTGTACAGTATCCACACCCTGTACAGTATTCACACTCTGTACACACTCTGGGGCAGCGTACATGACTCGTGCGATCAGATTTCACCGAGCCACACTTTACACCGCCTGCTTAGTACTTACCATGTAGAGAACGACAAAGATAATAGCGATGAGCACCAGGCAACCAATCACAACGCCGATGATTACACCAGAGTTTGCACTGGCCGTTGCCTGTTCTTCCGGCAAACTGTACTCAGTTGCCCTCTGCACACAAGCACAGCAGCAGCAGCACACACAGCAATTTTTTTAAACAATCTGGAAACAACTCTTGTACTGGCAAAACTCAAAACAATTCATTGAAAACCAGCGCAGCATGTTAAGGCTGTCCGCCTTCTCCGTGAAAAAACACAGCAATAGGGAGGTTTCGCTCTACGGAATTACGTATGAAAATAATGTAGGAACTGCACGGAATTTTCATACGTAAAAATCAGAGCTGTTGGGTTTCGCTCTACGTGATTTCTCCACGACTGCTAAACATGCGTTGTTGCTTTGGAGACGCGGTGGCTGCATGCGCCCACCGGTGCACCGCATGCACCACGAACAGAAACCGCGTTTCCATTTTATTTTGCACGTGGTGTACGGTGTGTGTACCTTGTGTTTCGCGCGGCTTGAACGTTGCCATGGACAAATCCGGAAAATGTGAAAAATATTTCAAAAAGTCCTATGGAGGACCCAACGTAGGAAACAGCTTTCCTACGGAAATCCGTAAAGAGATTTACGTATGAAAGTTGCCCTTGCTCCCCGGCGCGTACTACTAGTACATACGGATTTTCATACGTCATTACGTAGAGCGAAACCTCCCTAATAGCAACAACAGTACCAGAGTTGTCTACTTGTCACCATTTCTTTCTTTCCTTATGCTCTTCTATCTCTTCATCCCGTGCATCACCCAGTTCCTCCCAGTTTGTTATCAAAGGCCAACTTCTCAGTAGATGAAGAAGACAGCAACAGCAGTATTAGCAACCACATTGAACAAAATTCAGGTCAAAAAATTGGGTACAAAGTCCATTATGCCATCATGGACATCATGTACGTAGACACTTGAGCAGGTAAACACCAAACTTGAATACGAAGTGCAGCTCCCTCACGTTGCTATCCGACATGAGTTAGTGAACAAATAGGCCGTTGTTTCCACTTGTATTCTGTTCACAGGATTTTGGATTTTGGAAACATGATCAGTATTGTACAACTTACACTCGAAGGCTCTGGCGAGAAAGTGGCAGAATATCCTCGTGGCAGTGTTGTGTTGAGGATCCTTGCAGACACTGCCAGGCTCACTTTACCATTGGACTCCAACAGCTGCAGTCAAGCAAGCAACAACACAACAAATGCCAGCAGCAGGAGATGAGTGTTGAGGTGACAATTTCTGATGGCAAATATACATCCCGTTCATAATTGCATGCTTCAAAAGAAGTACAGGACCTGAAGGTGTTAGCACAGTGGAATAGTTCAGTGCCACACACTCTGGAGTGATTGTGTACAACTGTTGTACATGAATGTGTTGTCCCTGCCCTTTTGGCACGTGTGCGCGGACTGCGCCGGTTGCGCATGCTTGCGTGATTGTCGTACATGTTCTTGCTGTTGTGTGCATGCTTGCATGCTTATCGGGCGCATTCTGCTTGTTTTGGGTGCCTTCTTCTTGTATGCTGCCTTGATCTCAGCGATTTGCTCATTGGTTCGGCTGCACATGATCTCAATCAGAACCTTGTCCTTAGTACCCAAGCCAGAGATAGCCTTGTGCAGACACTTTGCATCAAAGTCGGCTGGCTTCATGAACAGAGCAAGCACGGTGTCCTGAAGTCACCTCCAAGCTCAGACTTCAGATCGTCGATCAAATCCCGTCCAAACATGGTCTTGAATGTCTTGATGGTCTCCTGGCGTTGAGAGTTGGACATGCGAGCTACAGACTCAATGATGCTCTCCAAGAGAATCAGCTTGCACAGAACGCCTTCTGAAAGACTTGAAAACTCTCACTTGCTCAATTTTTCAGTATCCTCATTTCTTTTAATGTTCAATCCTACTTTTACAATTCATCAAGTGGCTAGGACTAGTCTGAGTGCTGTGTTAAAACCTGGATAGCTATCACTCTCCGACGATCAGGATGTGGACGTCACTCAGTGTTTCAGTTTTCAAACTTTATAGTACGATGCTGTTATGGATGCTGGTGGTGATAATTACCAACAAATCGTCAGCGAATGCCTGTGCGCGGCTGGCGAAGAGGAGACACCTTAGTCAAAGCGACTTCAACACTCTCAGCAGTAGCTGCGGCATCCTCTGCAACGAAACGCCCAGACACTCCTCAACTTCTGATGGGCGGTCCGAGCCTGCGGCCAACCTGCCTCTAGTGGACAAGTCGCTACGGATGTTGTACGTCAACCAGACTGAACCTGGTCGAAAGCCGAAGACGATGGACATACTGGAACGTTGTGAGTCCTACTATCAGCACGGTGAAGGTCCTAATTGTCGTTGCATTGTATACAGTCATAAATCAGTCTCTGTCAAGTACCACATGACATGCCAAGATGGCAAAGCACGCTGGCTGAAGACAAGCAAGAAGATGCGAAGCTCGTGTAGCTGCTATCAAGAGGACAAGTGCCTGGTAGGAGCTAAATGGACACAGGCCGCGGCTGGCGGCATCAATATATCGAGCCAGGTCCTAAATTGGTCTTTGTCAAGTATCACATCACGGCCTTATGATTATGAACACGTCGCCGTCCTTGCTACACAGAACAGACTATAACAGTGGTGTCAAGGGACACCAGAGATTTCTATTAATTTTATTGTTCTCAGTTTTCATCAATATCCTTCCTATTTATCGAAGCAAGATTCTAAATTATTGCCGTCGCCTTTTGAGGCTCCCGGTGTATTTACTTGGTATTTATTGAGGCAGAGAGGATGCTGTGAACGCACAACTCGCAAGTGTTAAATTATTTATTGCTATTTATTTTTGCCCCGTTGATTTATCTATTATTGCTCTTCTTTGAAGGCTTTGACACGCCTCATTATGATACGGCCGCCAAATTTTGTTTAGCTTCACAACTTGAAGTGTATCTATTGGATTTAAAAAATAAAAAAAAAATGGGACAAACATCTTTCCCTGGTACAATTTACCTACAATACGGGGTCCACCGCTCTACCGTGTTTACTCCCCATTTTGTCCTGTTTGGGAGGGAGGCCCGTCTACCCTTGGACTTGTTCTTACCTACACCTAATACCCCCATGGAAGCCCCTGTGCCTGTGTACGTGTCCAATCTTCGGTCGTCTTTGGGTCGGGCTTTTGGCGTTGTACGTGACCGCCTCGGTGTAGCCTACAGAGTGGCTAAGGCAGCGTACGATCGCCGAACTAAACTGCCCACGGTACAACCTGGGGACTATGTTTGGCTCCATGCTGTTCCGCCCCCTGGGTCCAACCCTAAGCTGTTCCGCCCGTGGACTGGCCCCTGGCAGGTGGAAGTGGTGAAGGGAGTTGTGTGTGCGATTGTCCGGGTGGGTCCTCCTCCTTCACCCCGACATGCTAAGCACCTGACTGTGCATGTGGATAGGTTGCGGGTGGTGCAGGGTAAGGTGGTTGTTCCCCCAGGGGTTCCAGCTACCGGGCCCGCCACGCCTGAAAGACCGGCGGTTTCCTCCATGGGTGGGCCCGCTCTGTTTCTGCCGGCCCCATTTGCGAGGTCAGTCCCAGGGTTGGTTCAGCCCCCGGGTTACCTCCCCACACCTCCCCCATCTCCGGTGGTTGTGCCCCCTGCTGGTGACCGGGGTTCCCCTCCTTTGGTGGGTAGTCCCCCGGATACCCCGGCCCCGAATCCTCCTGATTCTTCATTGCCGGGTAGTCCGTTGTTGACCCCGACGCAGATCCTCTGGTTTCTCCCACCCATCCGCCCGGGACACCACGTCCTCAGCGGAGGTGTGCCCTGCCCCCGGGGGGCTATGCGGCCCTTGACGAGGGTCAGTTAGACCTCTCGTGGAGGGGTTGGTGATGTAGCTATTGTATACCATGGATACTCCCAGTTGGTTGTTTTTTTCTCCTCTTTTTCTTTTTTCTTCTTCTTTCTTGCTCAGTGTTGCCCTCGCCGACCCGGCCATGGTGTTGGACCTCATCGAGGAGTGGAAGTCGTTTTTCGAGTCGCTTCCCGAAGACATGCGTCCGGCTTCCCTTCTGTCCGCTTCCTCGCCGGTGGTAGCTGCAGCGCCAGCGCCAGTGGTGCCTCGTCGCCGACGGTCCCGCCGCTCTCGCAAGAGGCGCCGGGCCCGCTGAGCGGCGCAGCGTCGCGCCGCCCTCGCTGCTCCGTCGCCGGCTGGTGGTGTGCCGGACAGTGCACCTTCCCCTCCCAGTGTGGGGTCGGAACTGGTCTCCCTCGTTGAGGTCCATTGTGTCAACGAATTTGCTTAATTTTTTCCTCATTAGGCCACACTGAAGAAGGTGTGTGGTTCGACTAACATGGACATTTTTTTTACGGGCGGGCGGGCGGATTTTTTTTTTAATATATATTTTTAGTACATGTAAATACACTGTACTGCCTTTAGACACCCAGTACATCGGCATTATTACGCAGTGTTATGCCATACATGTTGTATAATGATAGCTTGCATGCCGTCCTACCGGTAGGACCACGGGTCCTACCGGTAGGACCCAAGAAATCGCGCTGCAAAAGTGCCTTTGGTTGAGAAATTTCTTGAAACAATTGTTGAGATGAGGTCTTTGTCAGGCAAAGTAATGGCGCAAAATGCAAGGCTATGTCCAGTGCATTGCATACGCGCAATTTTATCAATTGTCAAAATGGCCGCACATACTCCTGTCGGAGCGCTAGCAACTCTGTCCAAAGTGAATTTTGACCATGGCACATCAATCGTGGTGAGGTACTAATGTTTTTATTAGTCTGCCAAGGCAGTGGAGTGCATAATTCCATACACCGTTTCCATGGTTACCATGGGCTGTTACCATGGAATTTCGTAGTATGCCTTGTGCGATTACGTCCAAAATTTGTGGACTCCTTCATTAGCCCCTGAGCAACAGTTTAGAATCAAGTTTTTGGTCAATGTTAGAACAGAGGCCATGCAGCATGTCTGTGTATGATGGTCCTACCGGTAGGTCCTACCGGTAGGACCGAGGTCTATGCAAGCTATCAATAAAGGGATCACTGGCTAATACTTTGAAACATTGTGTAGCTCTGGAACGAGAAGAGAATAACTTCAAGTGGTGACTCTGACTGTCCAAATCATCAAGCAAATGAAGAACGATGCGAGTTGAAAGTAAGTTCGGGAACTACTTCGAAGTACAAATTGTACAATGTACCGGTACATGTATTGCTAGTTTGGTGTCGGCGTGCACGAATACATGGGCTTTTCCATCGATGCTTCCTGTGCTTGCACACATGGAGCAGCAACTTACCGGTACAGGTGAAATATCGTTCCCAATACACGAGGAAAGTGCAATCTCGTCTGTCCTTCATCCCAAAACAGAAGGCCGTCCTTAATCTGGAACGAGGCAATCACTCTCAACCGGACGGTCACTTCAAAATAAGTCTCGCCAGTCTGCCGGTGGTCGTATCGAGTAGACTCTACTACCAGCACAAGGCAGCAGTCGTAGACCCGGGTGCTCGAATGAGACACAGGGTACCAAAACAGAAACACCCTGAAATTGTACCTAAACTTGTTCCGATTTCGTTTAGTTTTCACAAATACCATCAACATACGGCCTGCTAACGGTATGCCAAATTTCAGCGCTGCCCGGTAAACACTTTTTGAAATACTCGCGACCCACTTTTTGCTGGGTCCTTGATTCGAGGATATGGGTCTCCTGTACGGTGCTGCCAAAGACCTGCTGAATCTGCGGCTCCACTGACCATCTTGCTCTCAAAAATGAAGTAGTAAGTTACTACTCCCTGCCCTCAACTGCCACACCAAGCGTAGACGATGGCAGACCCGTGTGCTTGAATCGGAGACGATCTGACGAGTTCGCTGTTTCTGATTCGAGCACCCAATTTTCAAATAAAAAATCCGAAGGAAATACGACAATTTTACTGCGTCTGTAGCTTGTGTTGTAGCGCACCCAGGTTCTGAATTCCTGCTGGGTGGGTCAAGCCAGACTCTCTTCCCTGTTCCATCGCCTCTCCAAAAGTATATTCTGACATTGTTGAGATTTACAGATGAGAAATTGCACACCTGTCAAATCGTTTCTGATTCGAGCACCCGGGTCTACCACTCACTGCGCTGCACTGCAGTACAACTACAAGTCAAGTCCAAAAGGAGCCGCCTGCGTCCGCAGACTCACGCTGCACAGCACGTAGACGTGGACGTGTTCAGTCCACGTACGTCAGTCACACGACAGCCCGCCGAAAAAAAGTTACGGTCGGGCTGAAAAATGTACGGTCGGTCGGGTGAGTCGAACCACAGACCTTCTTCAGTGTGGCCTTATGTATTTTTTGTTCGTCGTTTCCTTTGGGTGAGTGGTGTCCTAGGTTGGTGCTGTTCTGTAAAAGATCCCTACAAGGATAGGGCATAAACAGGTGGAGCAGCTCGCCAGCCGGGGTCCTCTTTGAAACTGTTGCTTGCAGGTTCCTCAATTGTTGCACAGTTTTGCGGGGCTCCCGGCTGGTGTCAACCCTCCTGGCCTACTCGTCACTTGCCCAACGGTCTCGTCTGTGCTTTTTTTTGTTTATATATTCGCCTATCTATGTTGTACATATTTCATTTCTTTCTTCTTCCTGTCTTCTTCTCCTGTCTGTCTTCTCGTTTTGTTTTTCTTCTCTCCCATCCTCAGGAGAGGATGCATTTTTTTCATGTGGAAGTATGTTGTCCCTGCCCTTTTTGGCACGTGTGTGCCCCTTTTGGCACGTGTGCGCGGACTGCGCCGGTTGCGCATGCTTGCGTGATTGTCGTACATGTTCTTGCTGTTGTGTGCATGCTTGCATGCTTATCGGGCGCATTCTGCTTGTTTTGGGTGCCTTCTTCTTGAGACTCTCCTTGGAGTAAGACTAAAATAATCTGTTCTCTGAGTGTGGCGTCCGTGTGATAAGAGATATCGAGAGTAATCGGAAGGGCTATCGTGCGAGGGAATAAAACCCCCCGACGGCAAATGGGCACTGCAGGACCCACGTCTGTACATGAATGGGCACTGCAAGACCACGTCTGGCACCCAGCGTACGGGAATACTGCATACGGCGCCTTTGAATCCGCCTTTTGTCTCGGCGCCAGGGTATACTCCTGCGCATTGCCCTGTAACTTCATCTTTTGTTAGTCGCAGAGTCAGGACGACACAACTAAGTCAGTTTTAAGTCACTCTGTGGTGAGCGAGTTGCTCCCCATGCGTTTTGCAGATGTGAAGGCCAATACCTTTTGGACGTTGTTAGAGTAGACGCTCCAAGTCATCGTAATATGGGTATTAGCATCCTTGTTTTGTGGCGGGATTATGCACATAATCGGCACTTGACACACAGTACTGCTACATTCCTGCAGTGGGATAAACAACAATGACATCATCAGAACATCACAATGACATCACAATGACATCACTATAACATCACTATGGCACTACTATGACATCATCAGAACATCACTATAACATCCCTATGATATCACTATGACATCACAATGACACCACAATGACATCATAGCAGAGTATCATCAAGAAACCACATGAAGATAATTGCCACATAGGAGGTAATTACTGAGACCTAAACAGATCCGTTCACAAGAGTGATTCAGTATGCCCTTTTTAAGAAAGGCATTACGTTTGACATCATCATAATGTGCGTGTTCGACTTTTTTATTCAAAGCCCCACATTAAGTGAATAATAGCAAGAAGGTACAAGAGAAGTGCTAGAGAGAAAAGGTAAACCAAGGAGGCGTCCAGGTAGAAAAGGAAAAGTCACTTGAAAGATTAGAACATTGAAAGGATCAGTCACGCAATACGGTGATGTAATTATGATGTACTGTAATTTCACAAATTTTTGGTGTACTTTTATTTTCGGTACTTTTGGTGCGTCTGTTTCACACCTAAAATGTCAACACACCGAACAAACACTAACACGCATACCAATAGGGAACTGCTTCTCTGCACCGAAAATTTCTGTTCAGTTAACCTAGCCTACATGTTGCCCTCATACCGAAAATATTGAGCACCGAAAATTTCTGAAATTAGAGTTATCACAAGGCAAAGCATTTGCAGAGGAATCCCCCACTTCGCTGCAGAGTGCAGGCATAACAACACAAACCTTATAGGCAGTTGCTGGTGTGTGAGTACTGCCTCCAGTGAGTGCATTCACGGGATAGGATACCAGAGTCGAATTGATTGAAGACTGTGCAGACTGCAATAGAATACAGATAATAGAACAAGAGTAGCATGCACACACAAACCGGACGTTTTTAACCAAAACAAATTATTATCAATCTCCTCGGTGTATTGCAACAATAAAAAGGATCAACCGCGTGCTCATTCTATACACATCAAGGCATAGGTGGTGGGTAAGTCCCAGGAACGTTTTCACATGATTATTACTACAAATTGTTGTGTCTACGTAGATTATTGTGTATTGTGGCAGGCTAGCATCATCCCACTGGTCCTAGATGGTGGGCAGTCCTCTGCCACTATTCCTACCACACCATATAGGAAGACAGTGGAAATCAAACAGTCGACGTAGCGGCAATAGTTGTATTCCTCAGATTGGAAATATCTGCAGAAATCTAGAGGGTTACACCGTTAAAACGCACTACAATTGCTCTACACATTTCCAGTCCAGTGTCTCCTGTGGTGTCGCACTGACTTACCAAATCAAACTTCTTGACATTGATGAGGCCTGACGCATTGCACGCAACATTACTGACTGATGCCTGCATGTTAAGACAAACAAGACAACGCACCATGGATGTCGTTAAGAAAAGCAAGACAGTACACTGTGGGCAGTGTTGAGTGCAGATATGAACTACGTCTGTCAACCCAGAGGAAGTACAAGGCAGAGCGCGCAGTTATGAATATAAGATGGGGGGGGGGAGAGAGGAAGTGTGCTTGAAAAGTGCAATACAATGTAAGCCTGTAGTCACAGGTTCAATGACCGTGGGTTTCTGTTCTCTTGGTTGCATGTGGGGAACACCAGTCCTACACCGTATGCCCAAGACCTGATCAATCGGTTGTCTGATATTCATGGAAACGTGAAACCCCTGTCAAGCGCGATGCACAATATCACTGCTGCGACGCGATCGAGAGTTTTTCTGCAAAATTCTGCGTCACAGGTTGTCGCAGCTCCGTCGCAGGAAGTTGAGCCCAGTTCAACTTCTGCGACGAGCGACGCATCACTTTCTACGCGGCAGACCCACGTGACAGCTCGAGTACGATTTTGGACTGTGTGTGCCCTGCAGGATTTCGCTGCGATGTGCCGTGCATTGTGCATCAAAGACTCTTCGCGCGATACAACAAAAAATAGAAAAATAATTTTGTCAGAAGTGGGATTCGAACCCACGCCTACAGAAGTAGACTGCGACCTGAACGCAGCGCCTTAGACCACTCGGCCATCCTGACTCAGATATGTAGAACAGCATGTTGCATAGCTGTTTACTGCAGCACAGTACATGGTACAGTAAAAAATAAAAAATAAAACTTACTTCCACAAGTGGTGACATGACGAAAAAGAAAAAAAAACAAAAAACAAAAAAAACATGGTACAGTACCGGTGCAATGTCTCACCTCCAATCTGGTCAGATAATACAGGGTCTTTTCCAGTTCAGTGGACTTCACTGCTTCAATTGGATACTGAATGGCTATATCCGTGGAAGATGTTGCACTTGGTCCAGCATTACGCAACTAGAGAGAAAGACGACACACATGTACACGCAGTTTTGTCGTCAGTGGAGAGACTCTGAGAGCAATGGCCATGTAAGTTAATACAACAAAACTGGTGTTGTTCTCTTAGACAATGTTTGTGCATGCCTCCGTTCATCATGAAAGCACCAGCACACACCCGGTGTAAACACTATTGCATGTGTGAGGGTTCTAGGCTTTGCAACAGGTACGTTACAAAGATGAACACTCAGTCAACACATTGCCTACAATGGACACAGTCAGTCAGCACATTGCCTATAATGGACACCGTCAGTCGGAATGGAGATCCACACTGCACTAAGAGCAGTGCAGAAATCTGCGAAAATGTCCATAAATAGATGTGCTTGAATGGTATGGTGAAAAAGGAGGACAAAATGTTACGAGTTATGACCAACTGTCCACCCACGTAACCAGATCTTATACAGTCAGCGAGTGCGACAAAATGGCACAAAACTGACAAAGGAGTACTGAGACATTCGGCGACCTGACACCTAGCTCGAACACTTCTCCAAGGCGCAAACCAACTACCTTCCAGCTTGGAAGGCTCAGGTTCGGCAAGGTCCAAGAGGGGAAGGAAAGTGCAACAAAGAAGAGCACGAGCTACGCATCACGGCAACAAAGAATGCCGAAAGTTACTGGATGATGACGAAACTAGCAAGACTAATGGACAGATCGGCCTTACTACAACTCGACGACGCACAGCAACATACCACCCAACTTGGGAGGCTCAAGTTTACGTAATAAACATAGAAGGGGAAGCTAAGCGAAGACGAATAGTGACAAACCGAAACGCCAACATCCTACTGAACTCCACTATCATGTATGATGGACTAATAACCAGTAACTTTCGGCATTCTTTGTTTCCGTGATGCGTAGCTCGTGCTCTTCTTCGTTGCGCTTTCCTTCCCCTCTTGCAGGCCCGGTGGAACCGGTCCGGTTGGTCAGGCCATGGCCGGACCAACTTTTTAGCCACCAACGTGTGTTTACTGCTGAGGAGGTC